GGGGGGGGTGGGGGTGGGGAGGGAGGAGACGAACGTCAACTGCTGGGGTGCGGGAACCTCGCTTCACCTCCAGTTGCCAACCTCCAGGTGGGGCCTGGCGCTCTCCCAGACTTACGGCCGATCTCCAGAAGACGGAAGATCGGTTCCCCTGGGGAAAATGGCTGCTTCGGAGGGTGGACCTCTGTGGCAATCATGCCCCGTATAGACCCCCTCCCGTCCCCCAAACCCCGCCCTCCCGAGTCTCCACTCCCAAATCTCCAGTCCTAAATTGGCAACCCTGCAGACCCACTCAGCTGGACCACCTGCCCCTATCTCTGGCTCAGCTCCACCTCCGGCCGGTTCAAAACTTCCTGCTACCAGGCCAAAGCTCAGCACCGAGGCCAAATATCACCACCCCCTTCCCCAGAGAAGCCCTCTTCTTAAGCCAAAGCAATCCCACCCCCTTGCTCCATGTCTACTCCCTCTCCCATTTGCAGGGCTCTTTCTGTAGCAGGAACTCCTTTGCATATTAGGCGACACACCCCCTAATGTAGCCAATCCTCCAAGAGCATACAGTAGCCCCTGTAAGAAGAGCTCTGGAAGCTCTTGGAGGATTGGCTACATTAGGGGTGTGTCGCCCAGGGCTCTTCTTGTAGCAGGAGCTCCTTTGCATATTAGGCGACACACCCCCTAATGTAGCCAATCCTCCAAGAGCATACAGTAGCCCCTGTAAGAAGAGCTCTGGAAGCTCTTGGAGGATTGGCTACATTAGGGGTGTGTCGCCCAGGGCTCTTCTTGTAGCAGGAGCTCCTTTGCATATTAGGCGACACACCCCCTAATGTAGCCAATCCTCCAAGAGCATACAGTAGCCCCTGTAAGAAGAGCTCTGGAAGCTCTTGGAGGATTGGCTACATTAGGGGTGTGTCGCCCAGGGCTCTTCTTGTAGCAGGAGCTCCTTTGCATATTAGGCGACACACCCCCTAATGTAGCCAATCCTCCAAGAGCATACAGTAGCCCCTGTAAGAAGAGCTCTGGAAGCTCTTGGAGGATTGGCTACATTAGGGGTGTGTCGCCCAGGGCTCTTCTTGTAGCAGGAGCTCCTTTGCATATTAGGCGACACACCCCCTAATGTAGCCAATCCTCCAAGAGCATACAGTAGCCCCTGTAAGAAGAGCTCTGGAAGCTCTTGGAGGATTGGCTACATTAGGGGTGTGTCGCCCAGGGCTCTTCTTGTAGCAGGAGCTCCTTTGCATATTAGGCGACACACCCCCTAATGTAGCCAATCCTCCAAGAGCATACAGTAGCCCCTGTAAGAAGAGCTCTGGAAGCTCTTGGAGGATTGGCTACATTAGGGGGGGTGTCGCCTGATATGCAAAGGAGCTCCCTGCTACAAAAAGAGCCCTGCGAATCTGTACTGAAACCCTCCCCCCTTCGCCAAAGGGCACCTCCCCTCACCCCGGATCTGAACAGGAAAGTTTTGCTTCCAGGACCACCGTTCTTCTAATTTTGAAACCTGGGCCCTCTTTCTGCAGCAAGGCCGCTTCCCTCTGGGCTGTCGTGAATGCTCAGAACTTCTACTTGCAGCTCTGGGAATGTAGCCTGTTGTGGTGCGTGCACGAGGCTCCGTGGATCGGGGCTCGGACACCAAAGGGGCGTCCGAAATACGGCGCAGCGTTTCAGGCCCCTCCTACGCACGAGCTGCGGTCACACACGCCAAACAGTCCACGTTCAATCCACTGTCCAACTGGATTTTGCCTGTTGACACAGTAAAATCCAGTTGGGAAGTGCACTGAAAGTGGATTATTTCGTGTGTGTTTGTGTGTGTGTGTGATCGCAGCCATTGTCTGTCTCCCTGTGGCCTCCGGGGGCAGCAGGCCTCTTTTGGAAGCTGTGCCATTAACCCTTTGCTATGGGGACGGAAGCAGTGTTCCCTCTGAGCTGAGGTAGTGTGAGCTAGTTCACAGTTTTTTAGCCTCCGGCAGTGTTCCAACCAGTTCCTCTGGAGGGCCAACATCAGGGTGCAGAGGCCAAGGCCTTCCCCTCACATGAACATCAGAAGAGCCCTGCTGGATCAGACCAGTGGTCCATCCAGTCCAGCATCCTGTCCCACAGAGTGGCCAACCAGTTCCTCTGGAGGACGAGCAACAACAGAGAGGCCGAGGCCTTCATAAGAACATAAGAAGAGCCCTGCTGGATCAGACCAATGGTCCATCTAGTCCAGCATCCTGTCTCACACAGTGGCCAACCAGTTCCTCTGGAGGGCCAGCAACAGGGCATAGAGGCCGAGGCCTTCATAAGAACATAAGAAGAGCCCTGCTGGATCCATCTAGTCCAGCATCCTGTCTCACACAGTGGCCAGCCAGTTCCTCTAGATGGCCAACAGCAGGGCACAGAGGCCGAGGCCGAGAATAAGAAGAGCCCAGCTGGATCAGACCAATAGTCCATCTAATCCAGCATCCTCTCTCACACAGGGGCCAACCCGTTCCTCTGGATGTCCAACAACAGGGCAGAGAGGCCGAGGCCTTCCCCTGATGTTGCTTCCTGGAACTAGGCTCCAGAGGTTCAGTGCCTCTGAATGTGGAGGTTCCCCTCAGTCACCATGGCTACTAGCCATTGATAGACTTATCCTCTATGAATCTAATCCCCTTTTAAACCTATTTGTTCCTGTCGCTATCGCTCCATCTTCTGGCAGAGAAGTCCACATTTTAATCACTCTCTTGTGTAAATCAGTCTTTCCCTTTGTCCATCCTGAACCTACTGCCCGTCAGCTTCACTGGATGCTCTTGAATTGGCCTTTGGGGAGAGGGAGGGAAAGTTCTCTTTGGGAACATAATTCCATAAACCTCTCTCATGTCCCCCCCCCCTCAGGCATCTCTTTTCTAAACTGCAAAGTCCCAGACTCATCAGCCTTTCCTCATTGGGAAGGGGCTCCAACCCCCCAAATCATCTTGGTTGCCCTCCTCTGCACTGTTCCCAGCTCTGCAATGTCCTTTCGGAGACACGGGGACCAGAGCCGCCCCCAGCATTCCAAATTCCCTGCCTCCTCCTTGCCCATCCCTTCCTCTGCCTGGCCCTTGATCAGCCACCAAACTCTCCCCCCCCCAAGCGGTCTTACTTGGACATGCAGCCCAGGAAGTCGTGTTCTGCCGACGGCGGGGTCTCCACCGGAGGGTGCCCTTTGGCTTTGCCCTTTGCTTCCTCGACGGGAGGTTTCTCCAGTTTCTCCTGAAGACCTGCGGGGAGGGGGGACAGTCGTTTTTCAAAAACGTGCACAAAAACGGGACAAACGGAGACTTAATCGGTCGGGCTCTTCTTGTAGCAGGAACTCCTTTGCATATTAGGCGACACACCCCTAATGTAGCCAATCCTCCAAGAGCTTACGGTAGCCCCTGTAAGAAGAGCTCTGTAAGCTCTTGGAGGATTGGCTACATGAGGGGTGTGTCGCCTAATATGCAAAGGAGTCCCTGCTACAAGAAGAGCCCTCACAGAAAGAGCCCTGCAGAATCCGGGCAAAGGCCCACCTCATCCAGCATCGCCAGATGGCTTCAGGGTGTTTGCACGTAGGGCATGCAGTCAGCTGCCTTCCTCCACCGTGGGTCCTCAGGACTTCCCTTAATCTCTCAACAGGGAGGATCTTCTTAGCTGCAATTGCTAACATCTGTTGATAGACCTGCCCTGACCTGGGTGTCCCAGGTTAGCTTGATCTCATCAAGATCTTGGAAGTGAAGCAGGATGGACTCCGGTTAGTGCTTGCATGGGAGACCCACCACCAAGGGAGTCCAGAGTTGCTATGCAGAGGAAGGCAATTGCAAACCACCACTCTTCTCTTGCTTTGAAAACCCCACGGGGTTGCTGCTAAGTTGTCTGTGACCTGACGGCATGTATCACCATCTCTTCGGTAGAGGTAAAGGTTTCCCTTGCTCGAAAGCCAGTCGCATCTGCTCATCTCCGTTTCCAAGCCGAAGAGCCAGCGCTGTCCGAAGACGTTTCCGTGGTCATGTGGCCAGCATGACTATACGCCGAGGTGCACGGAACGCTGTTAGGTTCCCACCGAAGCGGTACCTAAAGGTAAAGGTATCCATGCTCGAAAGCCAGTCAAATCTGACTCTAGGGTTGCGGTGCTCATCTCCGTTTCAAAGCCGAAGAGCCAGCGCTGTCCGAAGACGTTTCCGTGGTCATGTGGCCAGCATGACTATACGCCGAGGTGCACGGAACGCTGTTAGGTTCCCACCGAAGCGGTACCTATTTATCTACTTGCGATTTCTTGCTTTCGAACTGCTAGGTTGGCAGGAGCTGGGGCCAGAGATGGGAGCTCACTCCATCATGTGGCACTCGGGTCTCGAACTGCTGGACTACTGAACCTCCGGTCTGCAGTTCAGCGTCTTAACCACTTGAGCCACCACAGCCCCGACCTCTCTTATCCTCCATAAACTTTAAAGCCGACTAATCTAGTGGCCATCACTCCATCATGCAGCAGTGAGTCCCCCAAGTTATCTGTTGGGTGAAGGACTGTCTCTCCTAAATCTAGTACCCAACGACTTCGTTGGAACGCCCCCCACGTTCTAGCATTACGGGAGAGGTGGAAAAAGCTCTTTCTATCCACTTTCTCCATGCATGATTTTATAAACACCTATCCCATTCCTGCCCCTCCTTAGCCTTCTTATGTCTAAACTGGAAAGCCCCAAACAATGTTCCCTCTAAGCTGTGAAGTCTTGTGAGCAAAAATTCTACTTTGTGAGCTACTGGCAATAAAGTTGTGAGCGAGCAATTTGGCTAGTGCAAACATTAGTTAAAGCGTTCCGTGCGCCTCGGTGTTTAGTCATGCCGGCCACATGACCACGGAAACGTCTTCGGACAGCGCTGGCTCTTCGGCTTGGAAACGGAGATGAGCACCGCAACCCTAGAGACGGATTCGACTGGCTTTCGAGCCAGGGAACCTTTACCTTTTTATACATTAGTTTGCTCTGGAGCCATCCTCCCTGAGCAGAAACAAAAATGTGAGAGCTGGAGGCTAAAAAACTGTGAGCTAGCTCACTCTAACTCAGCTCAGAGGGAACACTGGGCCCCCAAATACTTTAGCTTCTCCTCACCAGGAAAATACTCTCATCCTCTGACCATTTCTTGTTGTTCTTTTCTGTACCTTTCCCAGATCTGCATTCTCTGTTTTCAGATACGGCAACCAGAAGCGTAAACGGAATTTCGAACGCGGCCGCACCAAAACATACAACAAAATCATTATGATCATTGTATCCGAGACGGGCAATCAGTTGCTGCGTATTTATGTTTTAAAATGTGTTTTAAAATATAAGGTATAAAATGCAGCTGCACCGTCGGTCATTTTAGGGGCGCTAGGAGAGCGGTCGAGTCCCTTGCCTAACAATCCTGTGTCCTCGTCTCCTTGACTCGTGTGGGGCTTCATGGTGTTCGGGTTCGAGACGGTCCAGGCCTTCTCCGACACCTCCGACTTGGGCGCCTGTACCTCGGGAACGGGGTACTCGATCTCTGGCTGTGACTGAGGACAAAAGAGAGGCGGGGGTGAGTTTCACGGCTGGCAACGATCAAGGGATTATTGAGGCGACGACGATCAAGGGATTATTGATGCAACGGCACACGGACCAAAATGGCGCACAGATGAGCAAAGGGACAAACAAGAGTTTGGGGTCCCAAAGAGTGATTAACACCCAAAGAGTGATGAACACTTGGAA